GAGCACACCAAGATTTATACTGGTTCACCACAACGTGTGGCTAGTCCAGTCTCCCGAGAGACTCTCTCGAGCTACACTACTTCCGTTAAGCTTACGGGTGCTTAACAAACCGTTACAACCTGAGAACTCGAGTCCCACGAGCCTCAATACACTTGCTCGGAGATACCGCACTCTAAGACTTCAACCCGAAGGAATATGCCCTTCCTTCGTACAACCAAGGGAACAAACCTCCCTTAAAGTGTTCACAACACTTAACCACTCAAGAACAAAAACTCTCTTAAAGAGTAGAATATGAGTAAACTAATTTAGATCAAGAACACACTCAATTCCTCAAGAAATGGATCTAAAAAGCTATGTAAAAAGTTTATGGAATGATGCAATGTAAAGCTATGAAATGTGTGAGAATGGATGTGAAAAATAGACCCAAAAGACCCTTATTTATACCCAAAAATGATGTGTAACGGATGGGAGTTGATTTGGGTTTAATAGCATGATTTTTGGAAATTAAATAAAAGTGGATCTGTAGGAAATTAGCCTACCCAGCGATGTATGGAACTACCCATCGCTGGTAAGCCATTTTTCCTTCAGTTTTAAAGACAACGGTCACCTACCCATGGATGGGTAAGAGCTTCCCATCGCTGGGTGGGAGGTTGACTTTCAAACAAGGAAAGAATCAGCCTTAAATGCCTTACAACGGTCATGCCTTCCCATGGATGGGTAATATCCTCCCATGGCTGGGAAGTCACTTACCCATGGATGGGTAATATCTCCCATCCCTGGGTGGCATAGTTCTGGAATCCCGGATCACTTACCCATGGATGGGTAATATCTCCCATCGCTGGGTGGCATGGTTCTGGAAACTCGGGATCACTTACCCATCGATGGCTGATATCTACCATCGCTGGGTAGATGGTTAGTCCAAAACCATAGCCTAGCCGACCGGCGCTGAAACCCGACTGAAAAATGTAAAGTTCTCCAAAGTAAAAACTAAGTGTTTAAAACACTTATTTAATGTATTTTATGTAGAAACCAAGTATAAAAACTTAAAAACCACTTCATTGAGGTAAAAACCATGGCTAGCCAAGTTTATGCCGTTTCGCATGGTTTTTGCCAAATGACAAAAACGAGAGGTGGTTTTTGAAGTGTTTTTATTGGAGAACCATTTGGATATGTCCAGAAGTAAAAACCAATCATAAAATATTAAAAACCACTTGATTGATTTGGACGCCAAAAACCAACGCCGATAACCAGCGCCGAATGCCGATAACCAACGCCGAAAAAACAAAGGTTATGGTTTTTGAAAACTAATGATTTGGAAAACATTTAAATGTGTCCAGAAGTATAAATCAAAGATAAAAACCCAAAAACCATTTGGTTAAAATCATTGCCAATAACCAATGCCGAAAACCGAACGCCATAGCCGAACGCCGTTAACCGATGGTTATGGTTATGGTTAAGAAAGAACCATGGGCTTTAGAAACTTAAAAACCATTTATGAAAACACTCATTTGATACATGAAAACATATTTTGTTTTGAGCCATGACGTAGAGAAATTGAATGAGCTTGTTACAATAAAAACCTAAGTATTTAGAATACGTCTTCAAAGCGCCAATGTCGCCATCTTTAGCATCGTCAATGCCTTTCTTGTGCTTTTTGTTTCTTCAAAGAACTTTTTCTATCTCTTTGAATCTTTTCATTTTGTTCCATGTTCCCGACGGTTTGTCAATATTAAAACCTAAGTATTTAGAATACGTCTTCAAAGTGCCAATGTCGCCATCTTTAGTAGCGTCAATGCCTTTCTTGTGCTTTTTGTTTCTTCAAAGAACTTTTTCTATCTCTTTGAATCTTTTCATTTTGTTTCATGTTCCCGACGGTTTGTCAATATCAAAACCTAAACGGAAACAAACATTGTCATTAGCAAAATGTCAAAGTGAAAATGTTTTCCAACATTGTGTACGAGCCAAACACTCTCGTTCCAGTTTTTCTATAAGTTATCATCAATCTACTGCAATTTTTGATATGATACATGTTGATCTATGGGGGCCTTATCGCACACCTAGTCTGAATGGATCCACAATGTTTTTAACCATAGTTGATTATTTTTCTCGTGGTGTTTGGGTATACTTGACCAATACAAAGAGTGCTGTGCCAACAATTTTTCGTGAATTTTGTGCCATGGTTACAAGACAGTATGGGACACATATTAAATGTGTACGAAGTGATAATGGGACCGAGTTTGAGTGTTTGAATGCATTCTTCAGAGAACAAGGCATCCTTCATGAAACCTCATGTGTCGACACTCCACAACAGAACGGACGAGTTGAGCGGAAGCATCGCCACATTCTCAATGTCGCTCGCGCCCTGAGATTTCAGTCTGGACTACCAATTGAATTTTGGGGCGATTGCATCCAAACCGCCGCCTACCTCATTAATCGAACACCATCCTCTCTCTTAGGGGGGGTTCACCATACTCCAAATTGTATGGGAACCCACCTCACTTATCTCACATTCGTGTGTTTGGATGCAGATGCTATGTTCGAAAAAAAGAAAGTGATAAGTTCGCTTCACGCAGCACACCGGGTATCTTTGTCGGATATCCACATGGAAAGAAGGGATGGAGAATTTATTGCCCCAACACGGGGAAAATAATTGTTTCCCGTGATGTTATCTTTTTGGAAAATATTTTTCCATATCTAACCCTTTCAGATAAAGAGACCGACCAACCAATTCCGGTGTCGGACGGCCCATTACCAATGGAGGAGGATCTGATCACACGGCTCCCAAGACGACCCGCTGCTGCAGCACCTACAATCTTCGACACCGCCACCAAAAACACAGCACCCGTAGAAGCCCTGGAGCCCCTTCCGGCCACCGAAGACACAGCACCCGTAGCAGCGGGCGACATGACGTCGTCCAGCGCTGCCGGAACTGGCAGCAGCACCAGTGCTGAATTGAAGGACCAACTACCCGACGAGGCAGCACCCACTGCCGACGAGGCAGCACCTATAGCTGGTCGTGGGCAACGAGCACGCATACCGAACACCCGTCTGAAGGATTACGTCACATATACTACCTTCCAAACGCTCAGCAAGTATCCGCTAAGCGCATTCATCAATTATGACAAATTTACTCCTTCACACAAGGGCTATCTCACAACTATTGACTCCGAGATCGAGCCCAGAAATTTTCGTGAAGCGATGCGATATGAAGCATGGTGCAAGGCCATGCGGGCGGAAATTGATGCGTTACAGAGTAACGGGACTTGGACCCTCGTCAGTGCTCCTCCTCACAAGAAGCCTTTGGGGAGCAAATGGGTGTACAAAATCAAACGCAAGGCCGACGGTAGTGTCGAACGGTACAATGCACGACTGGTGGTCTTCAGTAATCATCAGGTTGAAGGGTTGGATTATAACGAAACATTTGCTCCTGTCGTGAAACTAACCACCGTAAGAACCTTATTAGTCGTGGCTGCAGCTAAATCATGGGAGCTTCATCAGATGGATGTTCACAACGCGTTTCTTCATGGTGATCTTAATGAGGAAGTCTTCATGCGCCTACCTCCCGGATTCACTCCTCCTCGTCGAGGTCTTGTTTGCAAACTTCAGAAATCTTTATACGGATTGAGGCAAGCCCCCAGATGTTGGTTTGCCAAACTCTCTCAGGCCTTAAAGAAATATGTTTTTGCTCAGTCTGTCTCTGATTATTTCCTTTTTACCCTACGACAAAGGGGGGATGTTCTACATGTTCTCGTCTACGTGGATGACCTTGTGATCGCCGGCAGTGACTCTCATCAAGTTGCAAAGTTTAAGTTCTAATTGTCCCAATGTTTCCACATGAAGGATTTGGGCCGACTTAAATATTTCTTGGGCATTGAAGTTGCGCGCACTCCGGCAGGCATTTTCTTGTGTCAAAGAAAGTATGCGTTGGATATTATCTCTGAAGTTGGCTTACTTGGGGCACGTCCACTAGGCACCCCACTTGAGCCAAACCATCAATTGGCGCTTACTACCACGCCATTACTTTCTGACCCTGAGAAATATAGACGCCTCGTTGGTCGCCTTGTTTATTTGTCGGTCACTCGACCAGAGCTGTCCTATACGGTTCATACATTGGCCCAGTTTCTGCAAGAGCCTCGTGAAGAGCACTGGAAGGCTGCAATGGGTGTGGTTCGATACTTGAAGGGGCAACCCGGTCAAGGGATCTTCTTATCAGCTAACAATACCTTGCAGCTAACGGGATGGTGTGATTCAGACTGGTCCGCCTGTCCTTTGACAAGGAGATCCCTCACCGGTTGGTTTGTCCAACTTGGCAAATCTCCTGTCTCCTGGAAAACAAAGAAACAGACGACCGTGGCCCGATCGTCTGCGGAAGCTGAGTACAGAGCTCTAGTCGCGGTCACTTGTGAGTTAAAGTGGCTCAAAAGTCTACTCGGTTCTCTTGGGATTGAACATTCGCAGCCTATGACCATAAAGTGTGACAGTACTACCGCATTACAAATCACAGCCAATCCTGTTTTCCATGAGCGTACGAAGCACATAGAAGTCGATTGTCATTTTATTCGAGACGAGCTACTGTGAGGAGTCATCAAGACAGATCACGTCTCCACTACACATCAACTAGCCGATATGCATACGAAGGCACTGGGCAAAGCACGACTTGAATTCTTGATCCCCAAGTTGGGCATTTCATTACTACATGCTCCAACTTGAGGGGGGTGTTAGAGAAGGACAAGGAATATTAGTATTTGATTTGTATTAGACTTGTATATTGTAGTTTCCTTTTAGCATTCCAAATCCTATTAGGAATCTCTTGATAGCTATATATACCCCACATTGTATTGTACATAATCAACAGAGAATACACTAGATTTTCATCCCAAAAGTACTTCTGCGTAACAGTTTTCCTTCTAAACGGTGACTGTCGTTAACGTTCATGTTAACCTTCTAGAAATCAAGACGGCGGCGCAGCAACTGAGGCGGCAGCGGCGCCACCGCCAGAGGCGGCAAATTCAAGAATGCTCTGAGCCAACGCCACATGGGACGCAAGAAGGTCACGGCGGTTGATGGCATCGGTGGCATGGACATCTGCCTCCGTGTCCTTCTTATCGGTTCTGAGCTTGGCGAGGCTCTTCTGGCAGGCGATGAGATCGAGTGTCGAAGTTCTCAGAAACTTCATGGCGTCGGGGTACGCTTTTCCGGCCAAGGAGTCCACGCCCTCCTTGATCAAATCTACGGCCGGGACGTAGTGGTCCTTGCATTCGGCTAGTCCTTGTTGGGTGGCGGGGGACAGGTCCTCCGTGGTCCCGGCCGAGAGTTTTGCTGACACCGCCTCCGACACCGTCACAGCCTCCTTCTCGATCTTCTTGAGCGAGAAGAATGCGATGCTGTCGGGATCGGACCTGTCGATGCCTGATAATTCTGCGTCGTCCTCGTTGTCCTGCAGCCAAGCCACGCAGGTGGGCCCACCCTTAGCGTACTCGCACGCCCGCGAAATGAGGGCGGGGTCCACCTGCGCGGTGGCGTACGTGAGACGGAGGAGGAGAGCGAAGGCGAGGGAGAATATGGGTGCTGCCATTTTCTTGGTTTTAGAATTAGGTAGAAATGGAAAAAATTAGCTGATGAGGGTAAAAAAGTATTAAAATAAAAGAAGGAATATAATTGGGGTAAATTAAAATGCAAATGGTTGGGAGAAGTCTGTGGGTCTTCATACAATATGAGATTATAATGCTAAGAGCTCTTGTCAAAACACACTTTATCTAAATGTTTTTATATCAGAATTTCAAAGATAATTACAGTTACTAGTATTTTATTTCTTATTTTAGAAACAAAATATATGATTCACAATATTTCTTTCCGAGGGCACAACAAGTCCTCTCTTGAGTATGTTTGTTTCAAGGATTTTGGAAGGAAAAAAAAAAGAAAATGATTTTCTCTAATTTTTCTCATTAACATGCAAGGAATTTGGTTTTCTCTGCTCTTTAGACATTTTGTCTTTTCATTTTCCTTTTCTTCAATTTTTCTTTTCTTTTTCCTCTCTAACCTAATAAAAAAAATGGTTTTCTACTTTATTTTCTTTTCTTTTCCCTTTGAAATTCCTTGAACAAAACATAGTGTGAAAGAAATCTTATCCCAAGACAGCGAGAAAATAATCTCTACATCCCAAAATGTTCAACAATGAATATAGTTTTGGTGAAAAACGAAAGATGTGGGATTAAAATTTAGAATAAATTTCATAATGGATCCTTTATGATATGAGGCTTTCCATATTTAATCATCTATTATCGAATATTACCCCTGTAGTCCTTCGTTTATGGGCGTCTTTCCAGAAATGGTCTTTTTTATCCTCTTCCATATATATTGGAGTTAATTTAAAAGCTAAAAATATAATTTGACATCAACCTAATGTCCAATGACGAATTCTGATATTGGTGATGCGGATAACACAAAAATGAAGTTTAGTCAACCTATAAATAGTAAATAGATAATTTAATTTGGGACGTAGGGAGTAGAAGAAAAATATAAAATATGAAATACTTGATGCACAATAATATTAAAAGCTAGACGAAGAAGCAATAAAACACAAATTAAAATATGTATTTTAACTAAATATACCAAATAATATAATAAAAAATATTATTATTTTATTTATAGTGTACCGGCCAACCGGGTCGTTGACTTCAGGTTTTTGACCATTTCAACAGATTAACCCTTGACTCACTCCCTCGTTCGGATTGATGCCCGGTCTGATTTTGAGAACATTGGCATTTACACCGCCGACAAGAAAATGAGAAAATAAAATTTGTTCAAGCAAAACCATCTCAACTACTTTCCATTTATATTACAAAGTACATATTAAGATAATAAAATAAAATTTTGAAAATTCACAAGTCTCAACTAAACAAATGTAATAAAATTATTTTTATACTACTCTTTAATACATTATAATTTTTGTTTAACTGAAACCCAAAGATCTTTGATTCTAAAAAATCAAACTAGACAAATACACGAGAGGGAGGAAGTATATCTCATCCAGTCATCCTTAAACAAAAATGTATTACTCGGTAGAATATGATGAACAGAGTCTGAGACCCCTTACTTCAACTATCTGTTTTCCTTTTCAAATTTCCAATGCGGAAGGTGTTAGAATAAAATGTACTTATGTACTAGAGTCTTTATTTTAAGAAATATAGTTTATAATCTTAAAAAAAAAAAGAAAACGAAAAACAATGCAATAAATAATTACACCTTGGTTCCCATGACATTGAATCAGATGACCCGAGGTTCATACGATTCTCCATTCGAAAAATTGATGGTTCCTACCCCTCCTAACCTCCCAAGTAAATCCTCCACTCCCGGCCCGACCCAAAGATACCCCTGCACCCCCGTCAATTGCATGCCACAAGATTTAGTTCATTTTAGAATCAAAATTTGACTCCAAAGTCAACTAAATCTTGTAGCCTGCAATTGACAGGGGTGTGGGCTATGTTCGGGCCAGACCGATGGTGGGAGGTTCACCGGGGGTTAGGGGGATAAAAACATTAATTTTTTGAACGGAGCATCGTAGATGCTCTAATCGGGACCTCTGTCATAGGATAACATGGGGAATTCATGTCACCCAAACCGCCCCCAAATAATTAATACTCCATGTAATGTTTGTACTACATGAAGAATGCCAATATTATACTCATATTTTTCTCAGTTATTATTCACACAATTAAACTATAATTACTTTCTTTACATAGTTTTGTTAGTAAAAATCAACGAAGTGTAATAATTACAAAACTTAGATAAAAAAAGTACTACTTCATTTCCAGTGTATATGTTCAGTTAGACTTTTTCGAATCAAACTTAATAAAATTTAAGCTTCAGTTACTCTCATTAACCATCTATTTAAACCATCGGTTCAGTCCAATCCTTTTGATCATCTCTACATACCTATACCGACCCAAAACTCAATCAAAACCAAAGAAGTCCTTGGTCTTGTTTTGGTCCTCCAATTTTATTTATTTGAGTTTTGGATGAACCTCATTCCTAATACTCTGTTTGGTTCAAGGAATTTGAAAGGGAAAAGAAAAGAAAATGAGAGGGAAAAATAATTATTCATGTTTGGTTAGAGAGGAAAAGAAAAGAAAAACAAAATTCCTCCCATCTTGATGAGGAAAACGAGAGAAAATCATTTTCTTTTCTTTTCCTTTCAAAATCCTCCAACCAAACATAGTGTAAATGTCCCAAGAATCAGACAATTACTTTGGGGAAGGTAAATTGAGAATGAAGCACTAGAAGATGAACAATCAAATCTATATATCAAGCACATAGATTAGGTGAACATTGGGTTCATAATAACTTGAACCACTAAAACTAAATGAACATTGGGTTTATAATAATTTACTGCTGATATTATATTTTAGACAAAAAAAAAATAACTTCTCCCATACCTTTTCTTCAAACCTCAAGTAAGTAGTACCCACATGAACACAAACTAGGGAGATAAATCAATAGGGCTTAGGTTGTGATCAGTGGACTGTTGAAATGGCAGAGGAGATGAAGAAAGGCGCCTAAGAAGGAGCCAAGCATCAGAGGCAGGACAGCCCTGGTTCATTTCTGTGGCAATTGGGACTGGACTGTCTTCCCTTATCTCTACAACCATTGTTCCCTGAAACAAACCGTTTCATTCATCGTCATCATAAACCTCGATGCGGAGTAAGAAACCGTAAACTTCAAAATCAACCATTGTTGTTGTTGTTAGATCTCTAAAATGTATGCGCTTCTTTAATTAATGAAGTAGCAGTTAGTCAATCAATGCAACTTTCAACGCTGAGCCGAGGGTCTCTTTGGAAACAGCCTCTCTACTTTCGAGTAGGGGTAAGGTCTGCGTACACACACCCACCTTAGACCCTACTCTTGTGGGATTCAACTGGGTTGTTGTTTTTGTTGTTGTTAGTGTGATAAACAGTTTTGTAGTGGATGGGTCACTATTTTCATCTAGCTTTATCCCGCGTGCTACTTGAAAAAGCTGGACAGAAGTTGTTCTATGATGTAAAATACAAGGACAACTTTTGCTCGAATTGCCCTTTTGAGACAACACCTATTGTCAATATGTTTTTGCTCAAGAGGAACTCCGTCCAATTTAAAACATTTGTTTCCCAAAGTGCTGAAAATTAAACACAACTATTGAGGGACAATTTAGTTAGGGGTTCTAATTAAAGGGTTAAAACAGTGTAACATACCTCAAAATTCACAAGGAATCTCTGGAATAGATTCATCGTTTTCTTCATATTGAGTGCTTGGTTTTGATCTGACGAAGCAAGAGCATTAGTTACTTCCGCAGGAGTGTAGCCTACTTCTTTATGCACAACCTAGAAGTACAAAAGAGTCGGCTTTAGATTGTGATAACATAATACCAGTCACCCCCCGTTATTTGCAATTTAACATACACTGTGATCGATAAGTATCTCAGAGATGAGGCTTCCATCATCAACAAAAACTCTAAGCTCATATGTGCTCCTATTTTTAAATTGAAATCCCTTCACGCCGGTAAGAAAGCACTGCAAATTAAGTGTCATGCATCAGATGCCTATAAAACACGGAGACTGTAGTGAATGAGAATGAACTCAAGAACTGGTAGAAATATGGAGAAGAATTAAAATTCTATGCACATTGAACTTTAGAGCAAATATTACTTAGACATTACAGTCATAAATTGAGCAGTCAGTTTTGGGATCCTTAGCGACATAAGCATATATTACCATCATTCAAGCTATATTGGAAATGAATGCACACATTTTGGGATCTAAACATAAATATTAACCCTGCAGATTATTTTTTATTACGGACCACTACTGCTATTGGTTTAGGTCCCCTTTGGAGGGGTTGAATGTTTTCAGTTCTGAATTATTATAAACAAAAAGAAAACCAAAAACCACTTTATGTGGTTTCCAAAAAATGTTTTTTTGGTGGGGAAAAAAACGGAAACTAAAACAGCTAGAGACTCACCCTGAAAAATACGTTTACTCACTTATCTTTGTTTTAAAAACCTGAGTAAAGTATCAGCATAAATGTTTTGAAGGATATAGTGATATACACCAAGAGAAGGAAAAACAAAATGATGATGATGATACCTTGATTTTTCCTTTGACACAAGAAGTTTTGTCAGTAGTACCTGCCAACTTAGCAGACAAGCTGGCCAGGTAAGTAAAAGGACTTTCCTTGTCTCCACTAAGCACAAAAGGGTGATCCAGCTCATCAAACACATGTATTTCTTGCTCTATAGATGCAGTAGGTAGTGCATCTGAATCAGAGTCAACAGTTGTGATATGAATTGGAACATTATCTTGAGTTCTGCTCTGTGCAAGAGACTCTGACCCTAATCTTGCATCAAAGGAATGAATTCCATCAGCATCCATAGCTCCATCATGCAGAGAAGTAGGTGCAGCACTTCCAGTACAAACATAAGCTGATGTGTCTTCTCTTATGCTGGTGGTGGAAGGGACCCTTGACATTATTTCTACATCCAGCATATGGTTTTCCTCAACATCCATAGCTGAAAGGTTAGTATCGGTACTTTCCCTCCTCGTCGGACCTGCAGCATCCCTTACCCTACTAATGGTGTTTGTACCAGATGCATTCAAATCCTCCATGGGTAAAACACCAATGTCAGCCACTTCCATCCTACTACGAGAAGCAAAGTTCCCAACCCTAGTGCTGGCAGGGATAACAGACACATCCATAGCCTCCACAAATGAACAGTCAGTTTCGGCCTCTTCCCTTCTGATGGGAGTTGTGACAGCTCCATGCCTATTACTTGTGCACATACCAGATAAGGCTCCTGTTTTCGAATGAAGAAAACAAACTAGGATAAAGAACTAAAGGCGTACAAGTCTTGTCACAATTACACAGATAAACACATTATTCGGTGGCTCTTTAGATTTTTTGGCAGTTGATGTTTCAATAAAGTAACATGCATGAACAATACACTTCCTGTCAGAGGAATAAATTTAAAGGCAGTATAGGCAAGAAACAACCAAGGTACCATAATTCATCCTCATAGAGATGAAGTTTATAGACAAGAATAAGTTAGTCACTAGTGTGTATTGTTAGCACCATTTAGAGATTTGGTGTCATTAATTACTACCCTAGAGCAGCCCAGCATCCCACAAGTTATTTATTTATAAAAAAAGTTTGAAACCAAACACCTTTTTAATTGGGCTGTGGGTAACTGGGGATTCTGCAATATCTAGAAATGTGTGTGTATGGGATTGACTCCCATGGGGCAACACGTTAGTGGGATGAAGACACATGAGTTATCCATTTCCAAAAGTGACAATATTACAAAAATGTCACCTCGCTTTTGATTGGCTCACATGGCTTCATCTCGCCCATCCCACTCGGATAATTTTTATATGAACCCCACCCTTGGATTGAAAGATATTAGCACATAGATCATCCTTCCAAATTTTCATAACGATCGAAGATCGTTTCACCACCAAATCATAAAACTCTTTTTTCACAAGTTGTAAAACTAAATTAAATGTTGATTTTGTTTTACGATGATTTAGTGACAAAACGATTTTGAATTGATAAGAAATTTTTAGGATGATGAACTTAGTGTTAGTATCTTTCAATCCAACGGTAAGTATCATATAGAAATCATCCAAGAGATATCAATGTTATAGAAGTTTTGTAATACATTAAATATTGCAACTTTAGTCCTCAAGAATGAAGTTAGGATTTATACAACGCTTGTAGTGTTAAAGTCAGACATGAGTTCACTAAGAAGAGAATTATCCAAACCCATGGGAATTCCTAGTTGTAATGTAGAAACAGCCCAACCATTTTCCAATTTCACAAGGATAGATTCTTTACAAGCTATGTTTGCCAAGTTCTGATATTGTAAATTCATATGTGCAGCAAACCTGCCGCATACCTCATGCTAACATTAAAATATTTTAGGCACGCAATGTACCTTGCCCTTGAAACTGGGTAGTTTGATCACGTGATCTAGAAGTATCAGGGCATTCTGAAGCAGTAGCGCTTTCTTGAGGCCATGCAGCAAGAGTTGATCTAGTTGCTAAAGGAGGAGCATCTCCATTTCTTGTTCTGTGATATAAAAGAAAGAATTCTTAAATCAAACTGCTGGAGTAATTTAAACACCATTTCTTCACCCAAATGTAGCTCTCAAAAATTTAAAAAATGTTCATAGAGCCTAAATGCAAGTATATTCATATAATACTTGGATACTTTATGAGAGCAATTATACAAAGACAATAAAGTTCCAAATTGTATAGGAAGTACATGAAACTATATTACAATCAATGGTCTATCTTCCCTGGTTTAAGGAAAGAACACATCAAAATTCAGAAATATGGAATACTAAAGCATCAACAATATCTCCGAACCTAACTTGTTTAACTGTTGCTCTGTAGCTGCTCGGTCAAAGGCTGAGTAGCATTAATGAGTTTACGACTGATTCCTCGGTGACAACATGCTTCTTATACTATTAGTCTAATGGGTCTTCTTGGGTTTCTTTATACTGCACTTTGTATAATGTTTTATCCTAGATAATTCCATGGAGCTTCTTGTAGTCTTATAAAATTCAAAGCACAAGCTGTTTCCAGTAGAGGACAGAGAAGTACTCAACTTCCACTGTTTCACATCACTGGTATCATTGGAATTGCTATATGGCTTAGCTAACTCTTGGACACACACGTAATTGATCAAGAACTGTAGTATTTCTACTCTAGTTTTGTAAATTTCATAGATGCTAAAATAATTTAATGAGGGATTGTCAAATTTGATTGCTTTCTTCTATTTTTTACTCGAAAGCTTTCAGCTTTGACCCCAACAGAGTTACTCTCCGAGTGAAAAGAGTAAACAAGTAACAAAAATACTGAGTACCTTCCAAGTAACTCGGATTTATAAACTGTTCAAGCTAGGTAGCCTACTCACCAATGTCTAGGCCGAGTAGTGAGCATTCGCTACTTAAATTGAATAGTATCCCAAAACTAATGGGTATATCATTACTTCTAAAAAACACTGGCAAACAAGAAAGGATCTAACTTGCCAATACTATGTAGCCTGCTCGTATTCATCGTCATATCAATTCTAGTGTAAGAAAGATATTGTCCAAAGATAGCAGTGTATCGAACCAAATGTAAGTAATTGACCTTAGATATTAGATTATTACATACAGATAAGACAAGTGTTCTATATATATAACCCAGTAACACACCTCTTTCCCCTTGGTGGCTTGTTTGCTTCAACAACAAGTCTCTGGCGAGCTCCCTCCAACTCATCAACCATACCTCCCAAAATTTCAAAAACTTCAGGAACCAGCAAGAGGAGTCCATGCCTTACACTGACATTGCATATGGAAACCTGAAAACTAGAGCAGGGGTCTGTATTGAATCTATTAATAGGTGGTTATGAAAAGTATCAAATATCCATCAACTGGTGTCGGTTATTTTCCTTTATGTAGCAACTTTATAAAACAGAAAAGTGCACCAATCAATAAACCACTCCCTCAAAACAGAGTACACACAAAAAAACCTAATATAATCCCAACATTTGGGTGCAGGGTCAAGATGTATGCAGTCATACCCTAAACGCATTCCTGCATTCATTGCCCAAAACTTCACAGAAAGTAACATGCAAAGGAAGTTTAATGTGTCATTATGTGTCCAAAACTAAAACATTGTTAATGAGGACTCTTTTTGCTCCATTGGCAATGGAAGGGAGTGTGTGCACGAACACATAAAATGTAAAGGGAAAACTGGACAATTGACTAAACAAGGCTTTCAAGTATGAACCTTAATCCCAGCAGGAGCCATGGCATTAAGTCCCTTTAGAGGCCTGTACTCCATACCAAACACACGCTGGATACCATCTGTCATTGATAATTTGAGACATCTCTTAATTCCAGCTGGTGCTTCCTGGTACCTCCCTCTTAGAGGACAGCTGATATTAATTATCTCATCCACCTATAAACATTATTAATAAAAAATACGTAGTATATATATTAAAAAAACAAAATAAATGGCCAAATGTTCTGTGGAGTATACAAACAAGTACTGTCGTACAAACATCATGGTTCATAATTACAACAAAGAATCCAAATAAGAACTTTTCATTGAAACTTTATAAACTGCAACAGGTTCTGAAAACGGCTAATTGACACTTTTGGGATACTTTTTTATTTCACAATGAAGCTCACAACGATTGTGAAACGTCTTAAAAGTTCCTTTCGGCATTCAATTGCCATTACAATTAGAAGTGAACAAAATAAGCATTGAATGGGTAAACCTGCTGGAATTGAGTCATCTACACAAGCAGAGATTGAATTCAAGGCGACAAAATGCAAATACCAGTCTAGAAACAACAAACCTGAAGCACAAATGGGCCTTTAAGATCAACTGATTGCAAAGTGTGCACATTCGGAGGCAATCCCCCTGCACCTGAGAAGTTCATGTCCGAGTAGAGGAACTGCTTAAAGCACAGCTTGGCCTTGGATGAGGAATCGAAGGCCGAGAAACCAGAGACGGAGGCTTCTAGTTGGCCAATGCAGGACTGCAGCCATTCCGCCCTCAACCGGAGACCCATATCCTGCAATACGCGGCCAACTGCGCAGTCGGCGGCTACTTGTGCCGAGGGAGGGGCGGTGGAATTGAGGGATACGGTTTGGAAATTGAGAGTGGCGGTGGTTGAGTCGTCTTCTTCCTCGACTTGCGGCGGTGGTTGTCGAGGCCGCGGAACCGATTCTACTGCTTCTTCTTCTTCGTCGGAGGAGGAACTGACGATTTGGTGGCTGCGTCTCATCGTGTTCCCTGTTTCCCCCACTTTTCCCTCCACTTTTTTTCCAATACTAAATTATAGTGGAATTGCAGAAAATTATTAGATAAATAATGCAGCCTATAGGCCACAATTTGACCCAGCACAAGGATCGGCCCGTTTGCCCGCTCAGCCCGCCCTTTAAAAAGGGCGGATATAGACAACTTTTAATACCCAAATGGGCGGACTGGCCCAAGTCCGAATTGTATATGGGCGGATCTGGAAGTTACTTTTAGCCCATCTGGGCCAACAGGCCTGCCCATATTCATCAAATATATTTACTTTATTATTAATTACTTAGCCAAAACAAATTTTAAAATTTTTTATAATTCATGTATAATAGTTTAATTCACTCACCTCTTTTAAACCAAAATCAATACTCTTTTAATGAATCAGTATGATGAGTTTATTAATTATGCAACAATACCTCTATTATTCTTTCTATATAAATGTGATGACTGATTATTTTATTTTAAACATTAAAAAAGAGTTCAATATTTTTTTTAAATTTTAGTACAAAATAAAATTTCTTGATGTTTTATCCGGGCCGGGCGGCCCAGTGGACAGTCCGGCCCGCAAAGATGGGCGGGTATGGGTAAAGAATTTAGCCCATCAAATACGGGCCGGGCCACGCCCGCCCATGTAAATGGGCTATTAATTTATATTAGGCCCGGCCCAGATCCGGCCCGGATCCTTATTTGCACAGGTCTAGCCACAACTATCCTATATTCCTATATATATTTTCTGTTCGAGATTTTTCGGTATGGAAAGTCACCTCATACCGATTTCAAATACCGGACTGATCTGATATGGTACGTTTTTTATTTGGTATTTTATCAGATTATATTTTTTAGTTCGGTAATCTTGATTTTTTTCGATTCGATATTTGCTCACCCCTACCCCAACTACAAGTATACCATTTGGTTTGGTGTAAGTCTAATGTTTCCTTCAACTTATTATTTTGTGTATTATTTATGGGTGGAGCTATATCCACTCCAAGTCTAACTAATGCCACTCCATTTGTAATGTAGAGACCATTTTAACCTTTTTAAATCCCTTCCCCAGTGGAATAAATTTTGGTACTGCGAAGCATTCTTATCTTCTCCCCTATCCCAACCATCCTATTTCACTAATCATTACTCCAACTTTTATAAACAATTCCCCCAAAAAAATTGTCGATGAATTAAGCTCTACTAAAGGTTTTGTTACTCCGAAAAAAATCTCCCTTGTATCACTCTAATTATTTTCATGATCCTAAATCCTTAATGAAATTCATTAAACTCTAAATAAAACTCTAAAAAAAACATGTTCATATCTTTTACCCTTTTGAAATTTAACTTTCACATCATTTTTTCACAAATTAACATCTATTTTTCAAAAAAAAAAATACTAGAAAGCACTACTCTGTAATTAAAATTAAAATATGAATTCCAAAACTATTACAACACAACCATTGCAAAACCTTACAATTATACGAAACAAAGCCTCCAAAAAATATCTCAGTTTATTTCAAAAATTAGAAGTCTGATGGTCAAGCTTCTAGAACAACTTCCATCTTTACAAAAAAACTTCAGCATCTTCACTCTTTCCTCTTGAATCTTCATACCTGAATGAGAAAAAACACTTTTGTAAATGAAACCATAGAGCATGTTTAATAAATTGCTCCAAAATATTTAATTTTCAAAGCATGTATGAGAAAAAAAAATTGAAGTACACATTACTGTAGTGAGGGTAATTTGTAAGTATATAACCTCAAAATGAGTTCTAAATGAAGTCTTGGTGGCACATTCAAATCAACAGCTCCAAAATGTTGATCAACTTTAATTGGGCATGTGCGACTATTATGACCATAATTCTTACATATGCTACACTTTCGACCCTTTTCAATAATTTCAAAAGCAGATTGATCTCGTAATGTAGAAGTTGTTCTCTTAGACTTAGAGGAAGTGGGACGACCTTTATGGGGAACGATCAGTGGATCTTTCAAAGGACAAGCAAATATTGAAAAACATGAGTAGTAAACAACTTCATTGAAAGCACGTAGTAGAACAGATCACGAACCGGTAACGTTTATAAGAAAAACATGAAGTACTTCGTTTGTAACTTTGACAACAAGAAGTGTTAAGAATCACCTAAAGTGACAATTTCCTTCCAACATATAGATCAGCGGTAACACCTACTTAGTTTAGTTGGACATAAGGTTTAAAATTCGAAGATTTCATCATATGAGCGCAGGGAAGTCCCATGGAACCCCGCTTCGTGCAAGTTCATATTGTTCGAAAAGTTTGGCAAGTGCAAACACTGATACACGAGTGAGTAAATCCTTTAATAGAGGAATACGAAAGTGATGAGGGACACGCATCTTTTCCCTAGAAGCTTGCGCCTTAATTTCTTGAAATTGATTATCTATTGCAAGACATATCTTATTCTTTACCTCAACTAAATCCCCTGTTGAAATCTGCAAATATTTTTTTAGGTTTGAATGTGCTCCTTCAGCTTTTGAAGTGACACGATTCCCAAGGTGCATATGCAGATCTGTCCAAGCTCTCACAAAAAGTTCCTTGAAAGGAAACCAGGTTTTTTTTTAAATGTATTCAACAACTGGCTTTTCTCCATATTGAACTTCAAAGATTTGAGAGTTCTCTTTAAACTCTGACTCTGTTGTAGAATCTATAATAGAAGACCAACATGCCATGAAAGAATCCCAATCACTCCCACTCTCAAAATAAGACTTACACTTGGCCAATATATTTTTCTCAATATGCCACACACAAAGGAGATTTTTACTTGATGGAAATACATTAGGGATTGCATTCATGAGTGCTAATTCTCTATCTGTTACAATAACAGAAGGATGACAATTAACACCCAAGATGTCGCGAAACATATTCAATGCCCAAACATAGTCTTCTTTTTCTTCCTTCCTTAGAAAAGCAAAACACGAGTAAAAAGTTGTGTTGAAAGAAGACACCCCAATAATATCCAACAACGGCATCTTGTACCTATTGGTCTTGTAAGTACAATCCATGACAAAGACGGTTGAAGGTTCGTGATTATGGACCGCATTAATAACCATAAGTGACCAGGATCCATCACTTTTTCTTCTACCATGAACTTCAAAGGGACAATTTATCAGACGAGAAGCAGTTTTTCTTTTTCGAGACCCTTCTGGTATGTTATATCTATTTCGATATATTCCACCCCTATCGCACCCAATATCGACACTTTTATCTTTTTTTGACCGTCGTATTGATATAACATAACTATGCTGAATCATATGACTTCTAATACATTCAACAAGTTCATCCCGACTTTGAAATTTGCCTTTTATAATTTTACTCCAATCGATCGAAAAAAAAGGGCATCTCTTGTTCTACTGTGTTTGATACTTGAGTTTCCAAATCAATAAGTCTATCCACATCATACATATATGAGTTCTCATCAAACTCTTCCATTAAAAACACTCCGTAAATTATCCTGACACCATAAAAAATTACAAATCTCATCACAACACAATTAGTTTAATTAGATATCATTTTGTTCAATACCGTTCCCTTAATAAATGTATTGAACAACTTGCACAATATATTATCTTCCAAAAAATATCATATTTATTCAATCCCTCTTTTCACGCATAAAAAAATGTCATATTTTAATTAAAAACCTAACTTTAATTATATCTAATGTTTTTAAGTATCTCAAATAAGTTAAATACCTTAAAATTTAGTTTCACATCCAATATACAAATTAATGAATAAAATATCACGAGGAATAAAAAAATTTAGCATCCACCTTGATTGAAATTTAAATTGCTTACCTGGAAATCAGAATTGATGTTCGAATTCAACGGAAGAAGAGACTCGGCGTAAGTAAGAGTGATTGAAGCATGAAGAACATAAAGAGGGGAAATTCGTTTTTGAAGGAGACTAGGGAGAACAAGTAATCGCTGTATTTTTTTTTTTGGGAGGGGGGATTTTTTCAAGCTATTGATTTAGATATAGGATAATAGGAAAAAGCTATGTGTACACCACCCCTATACACCGTTTGTACACCATATATCCCCCTCTATCTTCTCTCTCTACAACCCCCTCCCCTGCTTTCTCTCTATCTCCCCCCTCTCTCTCTCTCTCGTAGATCTCTCTGGCGAAGCAGGAAGCGGACAACTACCGGAAGACCAGCTCTTCTCCCAGAATTCCTCCTTCGTCTTCCTCGTTCTTCTGCAGTGACATCGCCTACTTCCCCTTCCTCCGTGTCCGATGCATCGGTGGAAGATCCAACTTGGCGGAGACTTCATCCTTCGTCTTCTTCGAGATCTTCTGCACACCCTGATCACCGTACAACAACAAATTAAAGGTTATAATAAACACTTTTTATTTCATTTTAAGGTTTTGTTTGTAAAGCTAGACTCAATCATTCAATTCTAACCACAAATCAATCCTTCCCTCTTGTGAAATTAGTCTTTTTTTAAATGTTTTTTTGTGAATCATTGTTTCTCATACTCGTTCAGTCATTTAATTATTTTTTTAATTTTTATAATGGATGATTTTTTGTTAAAAACTTGTGGTAATTAGGCATTTTTCATACTTATTACAAAATATTTGTGTAGTGTTTGTTATTGGTGCAAAATGTTTGAATTTTATTTAAGATTCTGCTCAAATTCATAACTTGCTTTGAAACGTCTATGATGTGCTTCTTGTTGGCACAAAATGTCTGTATTCTAAAAAACAACTTGCTCTGATTCTTAAATTACTCTAAAATGTCTGTGAAGTGCTTGTTACTGGCGTAGAATGCCTATTTTCCAATTAAGAGTCTACTCAGTTCCAAAACTTGCTATAAAAAGTCTCTAAAGTGCTTCTTATGGGATCCTTTATTCAATGTCTTAATAGCTACATTGCTTTTGATAGGTACTTGAAAGATATGTCAACTCAATGATAGTGAATGTCTGTGAGGTAATCTATCACTAGTTCACATTATCTGTAAAGTTTATGTGTATAATGTTTTCAGATTTCTTAGTAAGCTGAAATATTTTTCAGATTTCACATTGGTTGGAATGTTTTGCGACAAGAGGTCTAGATAGTTTATCTACACTCTCACAAACATTTTATGTTTATGAATAAAATCTTACAGACATGTAATGTCTATAACACATTTAACAAACACTATCATATCCGTAAAAGTTTACCAATATCCCTCAAATTTGCTCATCTGATTCCAATAGCTTCTAAAATTTGTTTCACACAAAGTGATACTTCTTATTTGTTTGTTAAGTTTTAGATTCAGACTCGTGTTCCCTTGTGGTTGCTTTTGGCGTGGAAGATTGAACGTTGGAAGATTGGAGATAGTTGCTTTCGGATTTCCATTATGTTAAGAACCCATTTTGGGTTTTGGCGTAGGTGATTGGCCTTGGTATTTAATTAAGTTTTTAAAAAATATAAAATTAAGAACATACTATAATGGTGGAAGATTTTGTATGCTATATTTGCAATGTCAATTGTACAATTGTTTTCCTTTTGTTGGAATTTGTTTTCACTGGTAGCTTGTAGAGGGTTAGGTATTTGTATTTTTTGAGGGGCTTTGGTTTAGTTCACTCATCTCCTCTTGTATTCTTTGTTGCATTAATCTCTTTGAATACAACACTCACAGACAATTAGTGTTTATGGTTTAGCATTCACAAATAGTAAATGTCTATGAATTCCATGTCTAATTCAATGATGGTTTGTGATAAGAGATCTTGATACTTTATCTTCATGTTTAGATACATGTAATGTCTGTGGAAGAAGTCTCACAGACACGCAATGTTAGTAACACATTATGGACAAAATGTTGGATAAATTCTCACTTCAACAATTCTTTCACATTCATGATGCATCTATGAAACATAATTACAAATACACAATATTAAAGTGCTTCTTAATTAAGAGCATTCCATTTCAAAACTTTCTTTAAAATGTCTATGATGTGCTTTTTGTGTGTTTAAACTGTCTGTATTCCAAAAAAAGAACTTGCTTTGATTCATAATGGGCAAATATCTGTGACTTTTCAAATGCAAAAAAAAAATGAAATAAGAAATGTTTGGTCACATACACTCTAAATGTCTATAATTCATTAAACACCAGCATTTATTATTTGCGTAACTTAACTAAAAATTCAACCCATCAAATACGTCAACTAATCATATCAAATATCAAAAATATTTTGTAATTTAGTCATAACTATTTTTTATGAATTCTTCTTATATAAGTTTAAAAAAAATTATATGCATAAAGTCATGTATGATCACATAGACAAAAATTGTCTATAATTCACAACAAATAAATGTTTTTTGTCTGTGTAAAAAAAGTTACAATTAACACTTCTTAGTTACATAGACATAGACACTATATATATGTAATTTTTGATCATAGATATTTATTATCTGTGTGACCTGGATGAAAATTTACACATTAGATATGTGAAATAGTACAATATCAATAACATCTCACAAATTTTCTTTTGTTTAAAAGGAGGAAAAAAACTCCAATCAGCACTATGTTTATTTACATAGACACTAAAGTTATGTAAGTGTTATAAAACAGACATTTATTGTCTGTGTACTTAGAAAATTGCACCAGCATCTCAACGAAAATCTATTGCTCCGAAGACGCTCATGAACTGATTTTGGTGCCACGTCTTTTAAAAAATCTACCAATTTTCAAGAATATCTTACAATTTTTCAAGAATATCTTACATTTATTATTCTAGAATATCTTACAATTTTCAAGAATATCTTCCTCCATTGTTCAAGAATATCTTACAATTTTTCTATGCTGTAAAAAAGTACAATAGGCACTACAAGTCACATAGAGAATTAATGTCAGTAATTTTTTGAAGACAGACATCTACTGTCTATGTACCAGAGTCCACCGCCATCTCAACCAGGTTCCACCACTCCGGTGACGCTGTTGAAAGAAAAGAAAGATGTTGTGGCAATCGGGGAGGAGCGAGCATCGACGAAAAGCAGGCGACAGAGAAAGAATTGATGTAGATGCGTAGGAGTCAAAAGAGTGGTTCATCCCCCAACACCGATCTAGATCTCGATGATGATGAAGATGATGCCGCTGTTGTGACACTGCTACGGCGGTGACGGGAAGCCGAAACCGTGCATCGTCTGGACAGCGAAGACGATTGGCGATGCGGCGGAGAGGATCAATCCCACGATATAGGTCTTGTGGCGGTGATGATGAAGGCATGGTGCTGCATCGATCATCGGCATAGAGGGAGGGAGTTGAGGGATCCGAGGGAGGAAGAGAGATTGAGTGAGGAAGGGAGATCTGGAATGAAAGGGTAGGGTGCGTGGGTTATGGAATGGGAGTGAGGGGGTGTATATGGGGTTCATTTGGGGTACACCACCGGTGTACCCCTAGCAGGACCGAGGATAATAATACTAGTGGAGGGGAGAAGATAAGAAAGCACAGTTCTCCGTAAAAAATGACCCCACATACTGGATCTAAAAGGGATAAAATGGTCTCTACATTATAAATGGGGTGGCATTAGTTAAAGTTGGGGTGGATATAGCCCCAACCATTATTTATTCTTATTAAAATCAAATAAGATATTAGGTTTAATTAGATCAGATCAGATCCAATCAGATCAAATCAGGTCCAATCAAATCAGATCTAAATAAAAATATTGTTATTATTTGGGCGTGGGAATGGGTCCATGGGACACGCCTTGTTATGGTCAGTGTAATCCACACACATATTCGAGGTGGTCCCTTTGGACGCCAACAACACGTTGGCCATCCACTCCGGATACATAACCTTCCTTATATGTTCGATACTTTAGAGGGTGGCTACCTCCTTGGCAACGAACTCCCTCCGCTCGGACGAAAGGAGTCATTTCTTCTACCTTACTAGCTTCAACTCGAGATTGACTGCCAACCGGTGGCATATAATCTTGGGGTCTACTCCCGGCATATCTCTAGGCTCCCATGCGAAGATAATATTGAAGGAGGTGAGCACGACCACGAGATGCTTCCGCAGGTTAATTGCGAGACTCACCCCAATCTTCACCTTCCACTCGGGCACATGGGGGTCGATTGGCACTTTCTCAACTATTTGAGCAGGTTTGGCTTTTGGCTGCGCTTCTTGCTTCCTGATCTTCTCCTGGGTGTTCACGACCAGCGTCTCGTCCCTTGGCAGCTTCTTGGTAATTCAGATATAGCACGAACGGGCAAGCTTCAGATCTCCCCTTGCCAACCCTATCCCCGAAGGGGTGGGGAACTTCATGCACAAGTAATACGGGTAGATGCCGCACTCCAAGTCTTGGAGGCTGGGTCGTCCAAAGATCATGTTGTCTGTGCATTTGATGCTCATAACCATGAACTCTAAGTTCAGCTTAGCCTTGTGCACACCATCCCCTTCTATAACGGGTACCGTGATAACTCCCTCGGCCTCGATGGAGTCTCCCATGAACTCGGAGAGAGGGGTGCGCATTGGCTTAAGGTCTTTGCAGCTCAAGCCGAGGTCCTTGAAGGTCTTCCTGTACATGATGTTTACCGAACTCCCTGTATCAACCAGGGTTTGGTGCACTATAGTGTTATTTATCTCAATTTGGACGACCAGGGCGTCTCGATGGGGGCTCCTCGTGTTGGGAAGATCCTTCTCCGTGAATTGGATTTGCTCTCTCTTCCTGAGCTTAGACGCCGGCAGCTGGTGGGCCTTGGCGACAAAGACCATGTGTTTCTAATTCTTTCTCTGGGCGATGGAATCCCCTCTGATGTTCCCATCTAATGTGCCTCTTCTCAAGATTCCTCCCTTGCGTGGCCACGGCGACCGGCTTCATCCAGGTCCTCCCTTCTGGGGGTCCTCGTGACGGGGCCGCATTGTCATCTCGAGGTACGGGCCCTCTAGCAATCAATCGCTGCATCTCATTCTCGCGAGTGAAGCATTCTTTGGTGTTATGGGTGTTGTTGCGGTGATACTCGCAATATTTTCTTCCACGGGACACCAATTGGTCTCCATGTGGGGGAGTGGGGAAAGACCCAGCTCTCGACCCGTCCCCACAGACGAACCTACGGAGTATACTCCGGTCGAAGGTGCTCTCGGTCCAGCACTATAATCCTTCTTATTCTTCTTCTTCTTCTTCGCGATTTCTTCCGAGTCGGCAAGAGCTCATTTTGCCGGCGCAGCCTCAGATGCGGGAGTGTCGTCAAACTCCTCCGGGGTCAAGAACTTAGCACGTGTCAAAGTTTCGTGGTATGTGGGAGGAGGATTCTTGCAGAGCTCCTTCATCACTTCTCCTCGAGGTAGAGTTGCTTGGAACATAGCAACTAAGGCTTGATCGTCAACCCCGTGCACATCTCTGGCTTCCTTCTCCCATCAGACTATGAAGTCTTGAACCTTCTCCCCTTAGCGAATGCAGATGTTGAGGAGGTGGGAGTAGGGTAGCCTCTAACTGTGGTTGGCCGCGAAGTGGGTTAAAAACTTCTCTGCCAGAGTCTCCCAATCGTCAATGGTTCCCTTCGGAAGTCGGCTGAACTAGTAGCATGATGAGCCCTCCAGCGTTGCGAGGAAACATCGGCACTTAACCTCATCAGGCGCCGCAGCTGCTTCCATGGAGGCGTAGAACTTAGACAGATGGTCCTGCGCGTCTGTCGTTCCACTGTAGGCTTTGACATGCCACGACCGAAAATTCGCCGGTAGCGGTACGGACATGACCCTCAGCGTGAAAGGGGTCACCATCCTCAAGATCGGCTGGCTGTAGGGCATTTTAGTCTCCACTCAGCGCTTGAGCTCGGCAACTTCCCGCGCGAGGCGGGACATACCATTATCCGAACCTTTCGTCCTCTCTATCTTCCTGGGCCTCCGGCGACGCTGGGTTCGCTCGTCTCGCTGTCTGTCGGTACACTTGGGCCTACCGGAGCGTGCGTCTGAGGTTTCTAACTCCTCGACATGCCTCTACCTGCCTTCCGAGATCTGCCGACGTAGATCACTCTAGCGGCCGTCGTGCCCATGGTTTAGCCTATCGAAGGCCGACACACGGGTTTCCTCACCCCCCAGCAAGGAAATGGCCAGGTGGAAAATGCGAATCGCACGATAGTCGATGGTATCAAGAAGCGACTGAGGAAGCTAGAACGAATTGGTTGGAAGGGTTGCCACATATTATTTGGGCATACCGGGTTGCTTCGAGAAAGGCCGCAAGACTACCAATTGAAGCAAAAATAATGACCTTCCGGGAGAAAATCTATGAGGAGAAAGAAAATGAAGAGGACCATATAGTAGAGTTGAACTTGGTGGAGGAAAGGCGGATGGTCGCCGAGGCAAAAATGATTGAATATCAAGAAGCAACCAAGGCCTACCACGATAACAGGGTAGGGCCTTGATACTTCTAAGTAGGTGATGAAGTCCTAAGACGAAGGGAGGCCAGCAAACCAGGAGATGGTGGAAAACTCGCAAAAAAATGGGAAGGCCCGTATAGAGTCACAGCAGTATTACGCCCTGGGACATACAAGTTAGAAACAATGGAAGGTCGAGAGTTAGAGAGATGCTGGAATTCCCACCACCTCAAAAAATTCTATCAATAGGCTAAATTTGACAGGGCATGTACTTGTAATACCTTCCTCAATGATAAATAAAATATTCCTTCAGCAATACTTGTGTTGCCGGGCCAATATTACTAAAACAACATGTCTTGATGTAGGAGACAGTGTTAAATATCATGGTCGGGTGATCAGTAAAAAAAAAGGAAAGACCCTTGAGATAGGGGCCTTGATGTTAAGGTATAGCCTTGAGATAGGCAGGGTCTGGAAGAGGACTCGCGTCCATACTTACATGGATCTCTACCAAATTTTCATTTGGATAGGGGCAAAAAGATGCCAAAAGAAAGAGAAATTATTGTCTTACTTGAGCCATCTTTTGCGGATTGAAAGGTCTAGGGAAGACTAGAATTCACCTCAAACGTATAACATATGGACATGCAAGATTGGATGAGGGCTGGTTCCCACCAGCATACCCCCACGAGGGAAGATTGGGTTGGCTAGGTCAACCTAATAATTAGAGGATGGCACATTAAAAGACTTAAAACCCGGAAGAGGGGCCCTGGAAGAAGGGTGCTGCCTATAAGAGGGCTGGACCTTGGAGAGGGTTCGCGATCACATGACATGGTCAAAATCTCCGAAGATGTGTCAGGTCTTGATGTTAAGACTTAGGGTAAAAATTGTTTTGAAATACTCGTTCGAAATTCGATCAAGGTCGGTGTTGAACATAACATATAGGCCAGACGGATAAAAAAAGAAGAATGGTAAAAAATTTGACCGGTCAAATTTTTAAATGTTCTGAATTGGCCAGAAAGAGGCGAAAGGAAAATTTTCAAAATTGACCAGTCAACTTTGGGAATCAGTGCTGCATTTGAAGAAATCAAACAAGTTTGGAAAAATTTGAAAGTGACCGGTCAAAATTTGACCGGGCACCTGGGCAGGAATTTGTTGCCAAACCGGTAGCACATTGGGCCCAAACCACTTGGGATTGGATCAGGACAAATCCAACCTAGACGTTTATTACATTTCAACTTGGAAGTGAATCGCTTCAGAAGATAAGTCAAGAACAAAGTGACCTGGACGTTTTATGGAGTTTTAAAAGTCAAGCCGGTTTGGTTGAGCAACTATCAGACCTGGATGTTTTCAAACGGATTCATTTGACCTAAACATGAGACGACCTGGACATTTTCAAAGATGAATTCAAAGGAAGGAAACCGGTTACATTATTTGGGTTGGAAAGTTCATAATGGTATGATGATTTAATCAAATATATTCAAGAAGCAAGCCCAACCAAGCAACTTTAAAATGGGAACTGGGCAAGAAAAATTAACCATATAAGAAGATAAGACCATGCAAATTGAAAGAAACGCACCGGTAAATATTCAAAGCGTACCAATATTGGAGAATATCATACAAGTCAAATAAAATTAGGCCCGACATTCCCCAGGCCTTGAGAAATTTGCAAAGTTCTAAGCTTGACCTAGCCTAGTCTAGGGGGAAGGGGGGAGCTGGCTCTTCCTTGTACAAATCCGGAAGCTTCATCGCGTCCGGGTCAAATGAAGGGTCCCTCTTCTTGAGTTTGGTATAGAGGATTGACCTCTCAGCCTTCTGACCCGACTGGTAGCCGTACGAGCCAATCTCTGTTATCAACCTATTTCCCTCCGGCTCCTTGTACATGGTCTGGAAGAAAGCCATTGTCTCCTCTGGCCCTGATAAAATGGACCGGGAAACCTCAGCATGATGGTCGGCCGCCCATTTAGCCGCTTCAGAGGGAAATGCCTCCTCCTTTGCCCGGGAAGATTCCTCCACTCGGGCGAGCGCCTCCTCCAGCTGCGTCAACTTGAGCTCTTGCTCCCTGGTCCTTCGTTCCAACCGGGCGGTCAATGCCCTCTCTTCCTCCAACTTGGCCTTCTCGGCCTTCAACTCCTCCTCCAGCCTTTTTTCTCTTTCTGCCCGACCCTTGATCTTTACCTTTGCCGATTCAAGAAGGAGATTGATGTGGGAGAATTGGTCCTTAGGCTCGAGGAGTAGCTAACCCATCTCCTCAGACAGAGCACCGGCCTAAAAAATAAGAAGTTAGGAGGGCACAAAGAAAACCGAGCAAAAAAAAATGTAACCGGGAAAGAAAGTTGAGATGGACTTACCTCATGAAGTTTCTGTCCCAAGGCCAGGAAGGCCTCCTCTATAGACGCCCCCTCCAAGCGAAGACGACTGGTCTTCTTTCTCTTGGATCCCCCCTTGGAAGATTTGTGAGAGCCCTTTCTTTTCAGGGACTTTGCCCTGGAAGAGGATGGTTGGGCTTCTTTGAGAGGGAGCTCATCGGGGATCGTAGAAGAATTTGGCCGGTCCTCCTCGAATACATCACTGGAGGACTTGCCCGCCTTTCCCTGGAAATGCTCATTGTAGGGTGTACACTGGGCACTTGTCGTTCCTGGGGTGTCTGGCACTTTAGGGGGAGAAGGGAAGGGTGAGGCTTGAAGCTCCGAGTCTAGCCGGTTGAGCATGACCTCATCATCCGACTCTGCTTCACGATCAAACCCGACAAATTCCATGTCTAAAGAAAATGTTACAAACAAAAAAAGATGTTAAGTAACCGATTAGATATTCTACATTGGTTGAAAAACAATTATCTAAGAAAATAAGACAAACCTGGATGAGGGGAACCGACCTCAGCATGACTATCCGGGGGATTGACCCGGTCATCTTCT